AAGGAGGTTTAATGGGTTAAATTGAGAATATAATCTAATTAAAATATTAGACATGGTTAAATAGTTCTTTGATATTCATCTGAAGGTTTCATTAAAAATAGATGCTTGAGGTTTGTATCATAGGAGATTATCAATTTTAAGTAGAGACAACAAATTTAGGGACCTCATCAGCACTACTTCAAAGTGTCACCATTGTGTGGAAGCAGGGAAAATGGGAAAAGACATCACTGCCAGGTGACAGGGTGGTGATATGATATGATGCAGGGCCAACCAGGCTTCCTGACAGTGATTTTGATCGTTGTTTGACGATAAAAAAAAAAAACTGTAAGATTAATTTGGAAGATGATTTGCCACCAAGGAAAGAATACAATGTAGAGATCTTCATTGGTTTTATTTGGTATGTTCTCAACTTGCTACCTCTGTGTTGACAGCTCCCCAAAGGACGGCTGATCAGACTTTCTGGGTTTTAAATTTCTGACAGTTATTTCCCATAGTGTCACATTGGCACCATAGGGATACCTATTACTTAAATATCTCTTGCAAAAGCTTGACACCTTAGTAACAGAGGGTACCCCGAGAAACCAGTTTGGCAGCCCCAGTATCGGGGCTGGTCTCTACAAGCTGCCAATTCAGTAAAGGGTATTTTTGAAATCTTATCAGAAATTTCACTAAATACAGTTGCCTGGAATGCTCACATCATTGTAATCCTCTCAACCTGTTAGAGATATTTAATAGCGGAAGACCATTTATTCAGCTTATTGAAAATTAATTACTTACATTATCCAGGTTTGCAAGGGGGAAATGAAAAGGCAATGGAGAGGCAGCAAGGGAGATAAATGCTGTTCACCAAATTTTTTCTTACTCTCTTCATATTTTCCAAAGAGCCCCTGTACTGAGGGATGGAGAGAGATGAAAAATCTATTCATTTTGCCTCTTATTGTATCTGGCAATGTGTTGTTTTCATAATATTTTGGAAAGGTCTCAGCTTTCCAGTTATTTTACTGAGCCAAAATTAAGTAACCATACGTGAAAAAATGGGAATATTTGGGATTGGGGAGTAATTTAGGGAATGAGATGAATAAATGAATGAATGAATAAATAAATGAAAAGTCTGCCATCCAAAACCTTTTGCTTTTTCCTGGCAAGGTAAATTTGCTTAGGAAATTGGAACATTTTATGTTTTATCAGTCTCTTTGTGGGAAAGATGTGTGGTTTTGCTTAACGAAGCTACAGGGAGAGTGGAAACAAATACTGTGCTAGTCTAGAAGGCAGTGGGGTGAGGGGACAGTTTTGAATATCAGATTTTCAGCTACTCTGAGATCCTACTTCAGTGTATTTTAAAAAGTAGAATAAATATCTAAATATAACTTTTATTAGAATACATGTCTTGCCTTTATTTTGCCTTTAGTATAGAGATATTATTTTGTCTGACAACATAGATGAATTCTTAAAATCATTGTTATAGAGAGAGCGAGTACTATGGGTAAACGAAATCCACAGTCATTAACAAATCTCACTTGGTGCTACTGTTTTAAATCCTTTCCTTACTGAGAAAGCAACTAAAAAGGCAAGTGGAGTGTTTCTGTATCTTTCTGTCTCTCTGTTTTTCCCCATTGGGAATAGGAATTATGAAAACGTGGTTAACATTGGGGAGGAGAAGTCCTGTAGTCATCCTATGAATACTTGACAGCTGGGTGAAATATGTGTTATTCAAGTCTTATTATTTCTCTAAAAGGAAAAGGTAATCTTAAAAAAGAGGCATATTCAGGACAGCAACCCTGATTTTCCTTAGGAACTTTACATTTTTAAATGTTACGTCTAATAGGATGTTAATATATATGTTTTGAAGAACATCTTGGCAGGGAATTAGCTAAACTTCAATTCATTTTCTGCTATTTTTCAATAAGTAATTAAAAAAGAATCCCCCTGAGTTGATCTAGTCCGCTGTTGTAAGCCATTTGCTATCAACTCAAAGTTCTCAATTAGCTCCTGTGTTGTTATAATTACTGGACGTGTTTTCAAACAACTCCCAGTTAATAACTGTTGGGATGAAGAGTCATTTTCTCACTATAGACTAGACTGTGCACGTTCATGCTTGCTGTGATGTTTTGACAATGATTCATTAACCAATAATAAGGCCCCGATTGGAACCATTAGGCATCAGTGCCTTTGCTGGGCTTACCTTTTATTTTGTTTCTCAATATTGTCTTTTCTTGACTTGGTTTCTGGATACCTCCCAAGAGACTCCCTACTATACAAAACAATATCATGAAGACAGCTGTCATTAAATTCAGCTACTTGTAAAAAAGCTCCCTTTAAGAGGATGCTCTTGTTGGAAACTCAAGATGGAAAAACACAACAAAAAAGAGGCTGTAATAAGAGAGAATACGTGGTTTAAAGGTCCTTTATTTGCACCAGCTCGTACAGATTAGGCAGCATAGGTACTATGTCTTTAAATGGCAAGTATGTAACATCTGGTCAAATGCAGGCCCTCCGTCGTTATATCATTCAAATTTGAAGTTCCTTATTTTCTAATAGGCAGATTGTTTTCACTTCTTGGGTATTTGAAACAGAAATGCCATAAAATAGATCACTGATTGACTTGGGGCCATAAAAAATCAATATTGTTGTCATTAGTATAATTTACTCTAAAGAAGGAGCGAAAAAGTGTTATCATTCACTATTTCTGCAGAATCCTCCCCCCACCCCCGCCACCCACCCTGTCTTGCTATCATGGTAGGTTAGTGACATTCTGCTCTATCTTACTATTGTGAGGTGACTTGGGGTCAAATGAAGTCCATTTTAGTCCATTCTATGATTTGAACTGCAAACTTTCAGCAAATATGTGTTATTTCTTTAGTCAAAGTCATTTTAGATGCCACTTAGCACTATATAAAGCATTTTGAGGTTCTAGATTCTTATGTCCTGGACGTTGAGGACTTGCCTTGGGCTTATCACTTAACCCTTCGTTAGCCTGCTTCAGCTAAGTGTGGGCTCTTGACAACATGTGTGAAAGTGTTTGAAGGATTTAACAATGCTCAGGCTAATATTGATGGAAAAATGGTTGCAAAGTTTTCGAAATGTTCTGGAAAAAAATAGTGTCTTTTTTATTGGTCAATATCTAAGTTTGTAGTCGCTACTACAACTTTATCAATGTAGTGAAGAAGTTGCCAGATTGTACATGTTAAAAAATTGTTAGGTGCATAGTAATGCATATTTATAAAAGTTGAACTTGATGGAAATTCAAGTCCAAAATTGAAACTCATAGCAACTACATGCTCCTTGCCCACACAAAGAAACAAGAACAACCTCCTCCATAGACAAATTATCAAACAGTACTATTCTCGGTGTTGAAGGACGGGATTGACTCCTACGTAGCTACTCTCTCGTAACTCTCAGTAGGGCTGATGGGCTTCAGAGTCACTTATCCTTTCTCGACTTCCATTTCCTCTTCTGAAAAATTGGCAGTGGAACAAGACAAACTCTTTCCAAGCTCTAAATTCTTTTAAGAGACTCTAATAGAAATGGAATATTTAAAAATTTCACACTGTTCCTTTAATATGAAAATATGAGCGTGTCTCTATGTGCCTTTAAGTTTAAATTTAAGGCCATTTAGGGAAAAAAATTAATGAAGGTTATTCATTCTATCTCATGTTTCTAGAAATGTCTTCACCATGTGCCCTGAAAGAGCCTCTTCTTTTACAAATATATTTTAGGAGCAATGTGACCTGTGATTTTTTTTTTTAACTAATGCCTCATATATGATATTTTCTAAATACCACTGAAACATATTTGCCAATTTTCTATTTATCTTCATACATTTGTTATTTTTCCAGACTCCCAATTCTAACTGCTTCCAGTTTTAAGAGAACGTTATATATGTGCAGCTTTTATATCACATCATGGTATATATAAAATATATAGAACATGGGAGTAAATCTCCAAAGCTAATCCTTATGCAACATGTATAGCTAAACAGATTTGTCCCAAATTGGTGTTAAAAATAGCCTTTTCTAGATAGGCCCATTTAAGAATGCAATGCCCATCTAATATAAAGAAGGAAGTAAAACTTAAATCCTCCAATCATTATTTTAAGGGAATTTTTACAATGTTTCAAAAGATAAAAAAATTAAACAATGTTTATTAATATTCACAATCAGTAGTAAACTATAGAATGTTTTTGTCTTATCTAGTATTATTATTCTTCTTAATTTTTTTTTGAGCCAGGGTCTCACTCTGTTGCCCAGGCTAGAGTGCAGTGGCATCATCATAGCTCACTGTAACTTCGAATTCTTGGGCTGAAGGGATCCTCCTGTCTCAGCTTTCCAACTATGTGGGACTACAGGCATACCCTACCATGCCCAACTAATTTTTTAATTTTTTCGTAGAGACAAGGTCTTGCTGTGTTGCCCAGGCTGGTATCAAACTCCTGGCCTTAAGCAATCCTCCTGCCTCAGACTCTCAAGTTGCTGGGATTACAGGCATGAGCCACCACACCTGGCCCCTGTCTTATCTAATATTATTTTTTGTGTGAAAATACATATTTGACAATATTTTAAGATATTCGTGATGGCAAGATGCACAGCAAATTTATATACTTGGAGTAAGTAGCTTTGATAAAATATTTCTCTTAGAGTTGCCTAAGCTGGGCATTTCTGGACTTGTTGGAGGATTTCTAATTAATGTCTTGAAGGTCTGTTGGAAAAACATTGGGATTTGTTCTATTTGGGTAGGTTCATCAGATGTAATTTTATTCAATTTTATATGGAAACGCTTTGCTAAACTTAGAGATTTTAGTAATTTTTTGAAGTGTTGTCTCGAAATTTACTGGTGATTAGTACAACTGAGTTCATTTTAGGAGAAACTGAAGTGTTTATGCTTTTTTCTTTCTTATTAAGAAGGTAAGAGAGAAACACAAGTACATAAATTCATTTCTGGGTAATTTCAAGATTTTCATTATGCTAAGGGAGGGTAGAGGTAGTTTAAGAAATCAAAAGATCCAATATAAAACCAAAGGCTTTATTCTCTAGTTCTTACTGAAGCCCAAATTCTAATTGATTTGAAAATAAATAATTGAAAAGTTTTTTCTTCCTAGAAAGTAAAATATGGCACTAAAATCTGATCGGGCCCCGTATTTTAAATCCTGCAAAAAGCAAACGTGGACTGCAGTTAGATGATACCGATAGGAATGATAGGTCATCACTCCCAGTGCAGACAGGTTGGTTGGGGTTTCTTTTCTCCATGTCCATTCCTGGAGCGCTTTTGGTCTCCTACCTAAGGTTGTCTATACAATGTGAAGGACTTTGAAAGCAGCCACAGCCTGTTTTTCCCTTTCGTGTCTGCTCTGCAGTATTTCCAGCAGTGAGATTTCAGGTAAACTTTCTTCTTTTCCAGCATAGGTTGGATTTCTTTTCTCCTTTGATGCTTGATCAGTCAGATTTGATGGTTTGGGTTTTGGGATGGTCTTAGCGTATTCCAAAGCCTAAAAGCATAAAGATGACATATTATTTCAAATGAGAAGTGAGCCTAGATCCCTTAAATTACATCTAGTCTTAGGAAATGTTTATTTATAATATAAATGGAGACTATTGCCACAATAACTTACTAAAACATGGGTGAAAATGGAGATCAAATGGAAAATGCAAATAATGCTATATAACACAGTGTAAACAAAATAATGTAGCCACAAAATACTGTGTCATGGGGCGGGGGGAAGAGTTGAAGAATGATTCATACAGTTGTGTCCTTTCAATGTTTTCTTCATAAAACTGAGTTTCTTTCAAGTATTTGGAAATAGATTTGTTGTGCGTTTACTCTAGTTTCTGGCAGTTTTGTCAAAGGCAAACATCTATTTATGTAGATATTAACAGACCTTTCTATCCAAAGAGGATTTGTCATAGCTTGAGGCCAAGGACATCACTGTGGTTGATATAAATTGAGCCCCATTATTACAACAGCTATTCTTGCTCCTAAGCTCTGGACAGTATTAGAGGGCTGAAATTTTTTTCTTTCTTTATTATATCTGTAGAAAACTACATGCTGAAAAAAGGCAGTCTTTTTTTTTCAGTGATGTCAGTTCTGAAAGGCATTACAATAAAAACGAGATCACTAAATATGATTTCTAAATTTGCCTTTATATCAGTTTCGTATTTTAATAAGAGTTTATTGATAGCTGAAATGGGAATGGATAGAACACTTTAGGTCCTGGAAGGGGAAAAACGTCTAAAACAGAAAAAAAATCTAGACTTCTCAGTGTGTGTAGGTGAATTCTTTAGGAATTTCTAATTATAGATTTGCTGCCTTGAAGCTCTTCATGAAAAAATAATGGATTGGAGAAAAAAGCAAAAGTGGCACCATGGAAACTCAGTCAAGTGGACTGAGGTCTTCAAGGTATGAGGAAGAAAGGCAATAAATAGAAAAATGATGGTCTGTGAAAGAGAACATGGAGTACAAATTCCTAGAGGCACCAAAGGATTACTTGTTCCTCATGCAAAGGGTCCCATGTCCTTACTGGGACTGGATAGATCAATTGAGGCAGAGAGTTGCATTGCAAAGCCTTTTGCCTCCATAGTACATATTTCATTCACATCGTTACTGATGGTTGGATGACATCTGAGAGGGAGAACATTCTGTATTTCATGAAATCATTTTTCTTCAATAGAGGAACCTATATATTATGATCCCTATGGAAAAGTGTAGGGCAATGAACTTGAAAAAAACAATGAAGGCCTTTTCTTTGACCTATAAACAGCAAGACGACAGTACTTTCCTTCAAAAATTTATTTAATGATATAGAATGAAATTGATAGTTAATTGGGATTGCTGGTTTCTTCTAAGAAACTCCTTTATTAAATTTTTATGTGTGGCAAACTTAAAATACTATACTTGGAAGAAAAGATGTGGAGACAATGAACTTCAGGAAAAAAAAAAAGCCAGCCTTACAGCATTGTGCGTGTGTCACCATTGCATCAATATCCGTGAGTGACGGTAGCTGCAGGAACGGCAGTAGCTAAAATATCTGCGTCCCCAAAACGTGGGGGAATTTTTTAAGTTAAGAGGTAACGAAATTTCATTTTAATTCTGATCGAAGATATAAACGCCTTGATGTGAGTTTCTTACCTTCTGTCGAGGGATGGAAGATTTATTTTCAATTTTTGCTGTCTGTGGCTTTGACAGAACAGATAGGGTCTTCATGTTGTACTCCTTAACTTGTTTTGCGTATTCCTTTTGCTGTATTAATTTTTGCATCTGTTCAGAACAACGAAGTTACGATGAATGACAGGTCACGCTAGTTCTCTCTCCTCTCTATTTGAAGTCACACTGGTTTCACTGAGCTGCGCGTACTGTCTGAGCAGCACAGGAGAAATGGGGTTACCTCTCGTAAGGTGACAGCAGTGAAATGGTTAAGTTAATGTTTCTCTTGGAAACAGTCAGGAACATCACTGCAGTCGCACGCCCAGTGTTCCCTTAACATCGGCTAAATCACATTTAGCCCCTTCTTTGTTGCATTTACCCAATTTATTTTCATTTTTGCTTCCAACTTTGAACTATACTCTCTTTTTATGCCTTGAGTGCAGCTGCAGTTAAAACACATTAAATGAAGATCTCCTTTCACTAGAGGAAAGAGAATAAAGTGGATGCACTTTTCAGGGGTTGAAAAACTCTTACCCTAAGTGTCTTCTCTGTAGCCACTCTTCAAAATTATCAAGATAACTCTATCAGGAAAGACGGACAACCACATAACATACACATCTCTTTTCACGTGCACGTGTCCCACTTTGCTGTACAGGCCTTCAAAACTAACCCACAGACAGTTACATATAGCAACGTGGGCTAAGCATTTTTATTTTACGGTAAAAGGAGTGTGTGGGTCTCTATGACCAATGCCATTTCAAAGGAGTCTCTATTCAGAGTGGGGCATTTGCATTAGAGCTTAATTCTGGGGGTGCATCCTGATACAGTTTGCTAAAATATTAACAGATGTGTCAAGTCAAGCCTGGAAACACTGTATGTACGTTTCACTCACTTTGTCTCTGATGGACTCAAAGTCAGGTCCGAGGCCACCAAGCTTCACGTCTCTTTTCTGATAACCTTTCAGCTTGGAACTCTAAAAATACAACCAGAGAAACAGTTTGTTTTAAGGACTTGTGTGTCTCCCCCAAGTTGTCATAGCCACATAAGGTAAGAAGGAAAATGAAGAATGGAAGCCTGTGTGCATTGCTGGAGAATGGGTGCATTTCCTGACAATTCTTCTATTTTAATGGTAGTTATTGATAATAGTCTCTTTGGTGATTTGTAGCTGGTTAGCTAACATGTTTTGACTTTTCCACTTCTGCAATAAAGAAAATTGAAATTTTGAAAATTATAAATAAAAATGTTCAAGCTAGTGATGTGCTGTTTTTTTGTTAACATTTTTAACATAACATACGTATTATCACTTTGCCACTGCTGCTGGACAGTTCGCTGAGCCAAATGACTTCCCTGGAAGAGGGAATCTAAATGCATCAGAGGAGCACGGTGCTTCAAAAAGTGAGTACCCTGTCCAACTATGCCATAGCATTGCCCATGAGAGATGCTACGTGAGAGAAACAAAGAAGGTAGCTTTAAAATTTTGCGATTGATTGATTGATTGGGGGAAAAGATAATTTTAAAGGAAAAAAAGTATAATCCATTTATAATATTCAAAAGAGAGTATCTAAGAGTCTTGGCAAGACCCACTGAGAAACTCATTTCGTTCAGTCAGTGTGATTTTGGATATTTTGAAGGGCATACATCTGACACGGGAGAACTTAAGATGGTCCCCAAACTGCTGCTTTCCAAGTCAAAACTGAAGTTTAGACTTGCAAGTTCGCCTTGTGGGGAAGCCAGATCCTTTTTTCTTCCAGTTTGTTAATTAATTGGGTTTCCTTTCTGGGAAGGATAGGAAAGACAATACAAGAGAGATTGTTTGGATGGCAGTAATTATCTTAGTGTGTCTAAGTTCATGCTTAAAATGGTGAAAAACTAGCCATGTTGAAGAGGCAGCTGTTGTGTACTAACTACGGACGATACTCCCTGTCTGTATGTTAATGACAAGGGACAGGATTTTTATAAATTTTGGAAGCTCCTGTTAATTATTAAGTCCTATGATATACATCTAATTTGTCCTTTTTTTTCTTTTTTGAGACAGGGTCTTGCTCTGTTGCCCAGGCTGGAGTGCAGTGGTGCACTCATAGCTCACTGTAACCTCGAACTCCTGGGCTCAAAATGGTCATCCCACCTCAGCTTCCTGAGTAGCTAATCTACAGGTGCGTGCCTCCACGCCTGGCTTATTTTATTTTTTACTACTTTTTTGTGTAAAGATAGGGTCTCACTATGTTGCCCAGTCTGATCTTGAACTCCTGGGCTCAAGTAATTCTCCTGCCTCAGCCTCTCAAAGTGCTGGGATTACAGGTGTGAGCTTCTGTGCCTGGCCTAATTTGTCCTTTTCTAAAATAGATTGAGCAGAGATAGTCCAGGACTTAAAATAGGACATTTCATCATATTAGATATAATCACTGCATGTAACTCCCCAATCTTAAAAATGAACCTGTGTATATACATGATATCAACCATTACAAAACATGTCCTACTTGTAATGGTCTATCGACTACCCAGAGTCATCCCAATTAGCTTCTCCACTGTCACCTCCCACTGGAGATATCCGAATGCCAAATATTTGAATGCCACTGTAGATACTTGAAAAGCTGTCATTCAGCCTGGCACAGGCCCTTGCCCCTTCCCTTTTTTCTTGCCTCAGATGTGGATGTGATTCCTGGAGCTGGAGCTGCAGCTACAGCAGCAATCTTGTAGCTGGGGAAAAAATATTGGCTCTGATTTTTTTTTAATTGTCTCCTCCTCAGAGGTAAAGTTCTGACGATTTTAGCTGTGGAACCACCAGTGCTAGCAACCATTGACTTGTGGATTAAGTGCATGTAAGAAGAATGAACTCGTATTTTGGAAATTGCTGTAAATGATAATTCTGTTACTTGCAGCTGAAGCCAATATTTCTAACATCTCAGTGCTTCAGTGTGTCATTCATAAGGGCCAATATAATGTGCCACATAGGCAACGCTGCTGCACTGCAAGGATTAAAAGTTCTAATAGAACTTACTTCATTAGAATGTTGAGCATTTATGGTCAAAACTCTTTCAGTGCATCTAATTCTAAAATGTGAGCGATTTTTTCTTAAGGAAGTCTTCGGACTAAAATCATTAAAAAATTAATAACATTAAAGTATATGGAAGACATATTGTTCATTGAAGGGCATTTCAAAATCACAAATCCCCTTTAAGAAAACAGAAGTCATTACCCAACAAGACCACCATAGCTGCTTCCCATTCATTTTATCTGCCTGTTCATACTTTTGTAAAATTGTCCCTATGCTACAAATTATTTTTTCCACCAAGCACTTTAGCATTACACTGTATTCCCCTGTCACTATATGTTTTTCAAAAATGTGGTTTTTATGCATAACATTCTATTGTCTAGTTATAGCTGGATTGTGTAGCTAATCCTCTAAATGTTGAACATTTGAGATCTCCTAGGGTAAGCATTGTTTGTGGGCTACCCTGATTATTTCTTTGAGATAAGTTAATAGCAGTAGAATTATTGAGACAAAATGAACATCTTTAAGGCCATCAATTAACACTTCCATTAGCAATGGAGCAACAAGATTGCTCTTTTTGTCCAAACCTTGATTACACCGGGTATTATCACGTTTTAAAACCTTTACTGATTTTTAATAGGTGAATGAGCTCAGATGACTTACACTTTGCAATTGCAAATTTGTTCTTTCTTTCATGCATGCCATCTGTATCATTGTAGTGTAATCAGTGAATTACTATTTGCCAAAGAAAACCAATAATGAAAAGGAAGGAAAAAAAGCCCCCGCTCATATCCAAGCCATAAATCCAATTTGTCCAAAGATGATGAGAAAGAAATGATCAGTGCCCACAAATCACATCCTTAGTCTGAAGCAGCTTAACTTTTAATCATGCCACTGACTCACAAAAGACACATTGTGAGGCATGAATAATCGCCCACTGCCCTCCAGCCACAGCTCTCACTGTTACCCAGTGGACGTCTTGGCTATCACAGAAAAACAGAGCTGAGGGTCTAACATCGCAAATCGACATGAAGGGACAGAGTGTGGCCCAGAGGGGCCAACTCCGAATGTTGTTGATCCCTTTATAGGATGAAGTGCTTATAGGAAAGGGACATTTCTCAAGGGATAGTGACGGCTCCTAACGGAGTTTGTTCTGGGTGACTGGCAATGAAAAATCCTGGATTTACTGCAGTTTGGCGCAAGTAATCTTGATGTGTTCTCAGCGCTGCAGTTCTGTTTGATCTCTCTCCACCAGAAGTCTTTCTCGCAGCTTTATTGAGATATGACTCACATACCATAAAATTCACCCGCTTGAAGTTGTACAATTCACTGGTTTTTAGTATATTCACTAAGTTGTGGAAACATCAATCACCACAATCCAATTTTAGGACATTTTCATCACCCTAAAAAGAAACTCTGTACCCATTAGCAGTCGCTCCCTTTTCCCCCTCCACCTCCAGCCCTAGGCAACCACTAATCTACTTTCTGTCTCTTCAGAAGTCTTTTGTAGGAAAATAATCCCCAGAATTTACTTTGACTTACCTCTCTTTGGCTGTTACAAAACTAAAAGGTCACAGTAGCACAATGCCAAAAGAAAAAAAAAAAGTAAATCAACAATGATAGTCTTGTTAAGTCTCCAAACACAGGGGGAACAAATTGGAAAATACAGGCGTGCTCTCCACACATCCCTGATGGGATTCGCTGCTAGTCTTTGCATAACATACACGCGAGCTGATGTGGACAGACTGTGGCACTACCTGAGGCTTGTTGAGACCAGACCAGCCCCTCTGCACGGGTGTTCACAGTTGGTCTCTTTAGCAGGTGATGGCACAGGACTTCCCGATGGAAGGTTTCTATCAGTAATCAATGACGATTCTTCTCAAGCCAGAAGGGCTTTTTTTATCATCAAGTTGGGACACAGTGTGCCTAACTTGGAAATGACATTGACTATTCTCTGAGGACTGGCTTCGGCTCTGAAATGCTGTACCCTGCTGTGGCGCACACTGCGGAGCTATTCTCCAGAAAATTCCTCAGATGTGTAAGTGTGAGAAAGTTACTGAAAAACAGGACGAGAAACAATGCCTTCGATACTGGGGAACAGCAAGTGAAGGAAATTTGCTCTGCAGTTGCTAAACTTAATCCAAATAAACCTCTTCTTAGAAGCAGTCAAGCGGCAATGCCCAGATTGTCTGTGACAACAAACACATGAGTTAATTACTTCAGCTCAACACAGTCAGCTGTCAGAGAATTCCTTAAGCAGTGATTTTGCGGTGGGTTGCAACAGATGTTTTTATACTTTTGTCATCCTTGCACTATGTTAATCTCTCACTGTCTGATGTCTGGATTTGATGGTATGGACAATGCCTAGTATTCACAGATCGGTCACAACAGAACTGCCAAGAGAAGAGGAAGGGTGCTTGGGCCTATTGTCTTTACAAATCCTCAAATTTTTAATGTGATTCAGGGCGATTCCCTTGGAAACCACGAGATTTGATGTGACCAGCAAATGGGCAGGACCTGGATGATGATTCCCTCTGTCTGGGGCCCCGGCTACCTGCTGTCCTATACAAATGACTCATTTTAGCCTCTGGAATAGAGTAAAGGACAAAGAGTGCTTCTGTGTATTTGTCAGATGTAGGCTGAAGGTGTTGGACTGAGAAAATGGATACGTGTGGATTGTAACATTCCCGATGGAGAGCAGGAAGGGAGGGATTTTCCCAGTTGGAAAGAGGGCTAGGGATGCAATAACTGAAATTCTCCTTCCTCTTCCCAACCGCCCATGCTCTTAGATTTCTGGTGATGCACACTGTTGGTGGGGTACTTTCCTCTACTTTTCTCAGTAAAACATAAATTCAAATTACTAAAAGAAGGAAGAAGGAAAAGGAAACACTTTTAGTTGATGTGTATTGTTTGCTAGGGATTAAACTAAGATATTTAATACATTATTTCATTTGATATCACACAAAATCTACAAAAAGCAAGAATAATTCTAACTGTGCCTATGAGGAAATAGGGGTTAAGGTGAATTAATAAGAACTTGCCCAAATCACAGAGATACCAGGTGACAGAGCTGAGATGAGAACCTAGGAATGACTGAGTCCATGACTTCCACTAATCCTTGCTGACTAAGCATTGAGTTAAAAGCTTGCTTTTTCAACAACAATCCATAGTTGGCAAGAACTAACCCAGAAGGTTCTCTTCTGAGGTAATGTGTTTGAGCTATTTTTTAGGCCCTGGCAATCTATAAACTCCAACGTGAACAGGCTGTCCTCACCTTGAGAATGCGTTGGTTCCAAAGCTCTGAATACAGTTCCCTATAAAATAATAATCTGTATGATGTCCAGTTTCCTAGTCTAGTTTACAAAATCTATTTGATTTATGAAATACTTGAAAACAGTCGAATAGTATCTTAAAGCCTAACTACCATATGATGATGCTTCTATGGAAAAAGAAGTTACCTGGATTCAAGAAACACATTCCTCCTTCGTTATAGCGGAACCAGGGATTCTCCCAGCTCCGAATCACTAGTAGCAGTTTCCATGGCCTGGGCAGGGATTAGGGACCCCGCAGAAGGGAGGATGCGAGGGAATGGAGTTAGAATGGGGAGTTCAGAGAGCCCCTGGGGGCAAGAGGGTCTGTGAAGGAGCTGCGGTAAGGACTCCAGCGCTGTGAGTGAGCAGAAGGCCTGGGGTTCACAGAGGGGCTCCCAGGTGGGAGCTGCAGAAGTGGGCTGGGGTCATAGCTCGGCCTTGAACCATCCTCCTTTTCTTCTCTTTAATGTCACCTGAGGCCTGTTCTAGGCCAGCTTCCCCTTCTCCTTGAGGCTACCCCATTTTCTTTTCTCTAAAGGCCCCATGGGAGGGTCGTCTGACTTCACTGTCCTGTAACTTGGATGTCTTGCCCACACACTGCAGCCAGAGCGGCCTTTCCAAAATACAAATCCGCCCATGCTCAGAATTCTTCAGTGGCTCCCCTCTGGCCTGTAGAATAAAGTCCTTCTTTGAATGGAAAACAAGATCCTCTGAAACCTGGTCCCTCCCTACCTCTCTGCTCACACCTCTCAACATTCCATGCCTTCCAGGTTCAGTCACGTGACACAAAATGCTTCCCTTCCCAGCGGCTGTCATGGCGTCACAGCTTCTGAACCTTTGCTCGTGCTGTCCCCCTGCCTGAAATGCTCTTTCTGTCTTTATTCTTTGCCAACTCTCCACCATCCTTGAAGACTCAGCTCGGAATTCTCTCCTGAAGTTTTGTTTGGCTCCTGGGTCAGGACGTGTGTTCTTTTTAACGTTCCTCTGTGCTCCTCATGCATGCCTACTTTCTTTTTTGACAAGCTACATTGTACTGAAGCTTTCAGGTGGTATCTGTCTTCCCCAGTTTCGTGTAACTGTAAGCTTCTCTGGGGAAGGGCCATGGCTCATTCATCTTGACATCCCAACAACCTATCAAGCTCCTAGTAGGAGTTCAACAAATATGTATTGAATTGGACTAAGGAATGATCTGCTTAAGTCCTCCAACACTGCCTTAGAGAGGACGCCCTTCTGGACTGAGGTGCTCGCTCCCCCGGCTCTGGGAGTGCTGGCTGCCAAGGGCTCACAGATGAGTCCCTCCCCAAGAACTGCCCTCAGCCAATGGAGCTGCTGTGCCAGTCACCACCCATCCCCAGGGCAGTCATTGCCCAATGGCTGGCTGGTGTGGGGGGACAAAAGCCTGGGCCACTTGCGTTTGAAGGGCCATCCCAACCTCAGAACCCTGAGAACCCTGGCCAAGGCTTCTGCTGTGCCTGTCTACTTTCTCCCTGTGCCCGGCCTGCCTCCCTCACCCTCCTACAGGGGGCTTCATTCACTCAACCCCCGACTTTCTCTTCACTTCAGATATGACAATGTACCTGGGGAGACTCAGGTTAGAGTAGGGCTTGAGGCGGGGAGTGGAAGTTTTTCTGAGAAAGTGAAGTTTGAGCTGGGGATGAAGGAGGATTATTGACTCTCTGTAAATGCAGACCCTTCCCTGAGATGACTCGAAAAGGAGGCTGGAATGGACATCCCTGGCAGCAACAAGCTCTAGAAAGAAGGGGAGGGAAATCCAGGGAGCAGCAGGGGCTGGAGTGAAGACGTTCCTCGGGGCCGCCCGTTGTGGCAGCAGCTCAGTAATGACCATCCCCATTCCAGGGCCATCATTAGGGGAATGAAAACCAAGGTCCACCAGTCTTATCGAAATTGAAAGGTTATTTGGTAAAATGACGCTTTTATTACCTTAATGCCGCTCCTTTTCCTATGTTTTTTTCCTTTTTCCAGTTGAAACAGGTAACCTTCAGAATTGCTACGATTAATTTTCATTTGGTTTCTTTGGCTTCTCTCTGAACTGAGTTGGGATTCACTTTCTACCCTTGACAGTATAGGGGGGAGTGTGATGCTGGATGAGGCCCCTGTGGTGGGCTGCACCTCCGTCAGCTGCACCAAGGCTTGCTGATGCTGCTCCATTATCTGAGTGAGCCGCGAGTCTGGAGAAGCTTGGACGGGCTGGCTCTCAGAGGCAGAATGGAATTTCCTTAATGAAAAAAAAAAGCACAAATCTATTAATAAAACCCAGATACATAAGATCTTTAGTGTAAAAGTCTTTATAACCATTAATTTGATGTATTTATCACTCCCAAATCAAATTAATGACCTTTAGCTTAATCTTTTCATGAATACATTAATTTCTTATTTATCTTAAAAATCGTCATTTTTTTTCTTTAGGACATTCTTGTTCTTATTTAGAACTTTGATTGAGTGCATTCAGAATAGGAAAAACACCATTTCAAAAAGTCAAAGACTGGCCGGGCGCGGTGGCTCACGCCTGTGGTCCTGGCACTCTGGGAGGCCGAGGCGGGAGGATTGTTTGAGCTCAGGAGTTCAAGACTAGCCTGAGCAAGAGCGAGACCCCATCTCTACTATAAATAGAAAGAAATTGGCTGGACAACTAAAACTATATAGAAAAAATTAGCCGGGCAGGGTGGCACATGCCTGTAGTCCCAGCTACTTGGGAGGCTGAGGCAGAAGGATCGCTTGAGCCCAGGAGTTTGAGGTTGCTGTGAGCTAGGCTGATGCCACGGCACTCTAGCCCAGGCAACAGAGTGAGACTCTGTCAAAAAAAAAAAAAAAAAAAAAAAGACTGTCTTTAAGAGCTACATCCTCAACAAAATGCTGGGTTAATTAAAAACCCATTTATCAGACTTGAGAAACAATAAAGCAAACCTATCTCTCTTGGTCTGGGCTCTGAAAAGGAAAGAAACTTGTATGAATTTATATGGGACAATATTTGGGGTTCAAATTTACATTACCCATATAATCATGGAAATCCAACACCAAGAAATTAACATAAAAATGATTATGGATGAGATATACTTCTTTACTATCTGGCAGAAGCAAATATAAAACTTCTCTGGAGGGAAACACTCCCTCCCAAGCCATCCTAGGTTTCTAAAGATAAGGTAGCTAAACATAAGTTCATGATCCAAAATCCTAGCATATAAGACGAAATAATCTACCAAGTATGAAAGTCAGCAGACATACATGTACACACATGCAAATAGCAGTAATAGACTTCTAAGAACTTCAGATAATAGAATATTAAGGTAGTATTCATAAAGTATGTTTAAAATGATTAAAAGAAGAAATAAAAATCATAAGAAACATATTTTGAAAAGCTATAATTTGAAAAAAGAAGAGAGATTTTAATCAGAACCAAACAGAAATTCTAGACTTGAAAATATCGAAGTATCAACGAAGGACGTGCCTAATGAATGAATAGTACTTCAATGGTTTGAGAAGTCCCGTTCTGGTGATTCTAATCTTGAAAATGATCTGTGTGGGAGACCTGAAACAAAGGTGGATAATGACCAGCTGAAAGCTGTAGTGGAAGCAAATCCATCTAAATTAACAGCAAGGTTTATGTTACTATTCCAACAATACTGGATCATTTGAAACAAATGGGCAAGGTAAAGAAGCTGGCTAGATGGGTTCCACATGAATTAAATGAGCATCAGAAGAGAAATCATCTCCAAGCTTGCTTTTCTTTGCTGTCACGACATAAAGGGGAACCATCTCTACACCATATTGTTACGTGTGATGGAAAATGGATTCTTTTTCACAATCATAAGCATTCGGCACAATGGTTGGATAAAGATGAAGTGCCTAAGCACAGTCCAGAACCGAATATTTATCAAGGAAGCTAATGGTGTCTGTTTGGTGGTCCAGCACTGGTATTAACCACTACAGCTTCATGAAACCTGTTCAGTCGATCACAGCAGATGTCTACTGCAACCAGTTGAATGAAATGATGAGGATGCTTGCAATTAAGCAGCAGAGATTGGTTAACAGAAACAGGCCAATCCTTCTGCAAGACAATGCTTGACCACAAGTCGCACAAACAACGCTGCTCAAACTACAGAGGCTGGACTTGGAAACTCTCTGTCATCTACCATATTCACCAGATCTTGCACCAACTGACTACCACTTCTTCCAGGCTTTGGACCACTTCTTGCAAGGAAAAATATTCAATTCTCAACAAGCTGTGGAAACCGCCTTTCGTAATTTCATTGTGACTTGCTCTCTAGGCTGCTTTGCTGCTGGCATAAACAAGCTACTGTTAGGATGGCAAAACTGTGTCGATAGTTTAGGTGCATACTTTGACCATACTGCTTCTTGTTTGAGATATAATAAACTACATATTTGATTCAGAATCAGACATTTCATATTTAATGACCTAAATAGATAAAGGACTACAGTTGCTCATTGTAGATTTTTCTCCAAAGTTTTTATTAATACTAGGTGTGAACATCTTCAAAATGAAAAGGTGGTAGAAAAAACATTGCAGAATAAACATATGTGATTTAACACCCAATGCAAATTGAAATTATATAAAGACATTTTAAAGAGACACAGACCCACAAGGATAAGGAAAACAAAAGAGGGCGGAAAAAAAGCAAAAATTTTGGAAGAAGAAAACGGATGGTTACTGTTTTAGCAGGCTCGAGAAAGCAGAACCAGGGCTGGGCGTGTTGCTTCATGCCTGTGATCCTAGCACTCTGGGAGGCTGAGGTGGCAGAACTGCTCGAGGCCAGGAGTTCGAGACCAGCATGAGAAAGAGCGCAGACCCCATCTCTACAAAAATATAGAAAAATTAGCCAGGCATGGTGGCACATGCCTGTAGTTTTAGCCTCTCAGGAGGCTGAGGCAGGAGGATTGCTCGAGCCCAGGAGTTTGAGGTTGCTGTGAGCTATGATTAGGCCACTGCACTCTAGTTGAGTGAGACAAAAGGAAAGAATCTCAACAGCGGTTAAGGCTGAGAAGCAACATAGTTTACACCGTAGAATCCTTAAAGGCTCATACGCTGTAAGTTGGGAGGAGGTGGAGAAAGTCCACGTGAGAATTACTTTAAGAATTGGTTGAAAGTCTGTTTAAGAAACAGTCAAGTCTTCAGATCTTCTTCCCCATTTTGGTCAGCTAAGTAACTGTTCCTTCTCCATCTCCATAGCACATGGAGGTTTGTATTCTGAAGAAGGAAAAATGAGTCACTTGCCTGTGGAGCGCCAGACGTACATAATAACTCTGACCATCCAAGATAAAAGACATAAAGCTGACCGGAAGGGCTTCCTATCAGAGGGCCCACGCAGATCATTCTACAGAAACTCTAAGTCAACAAGCCCCATCACTCGGAGTTGCCAACAAGCTTTTTAGTCCTTTACACTTAAGTATGAACAGACAATCAAAAATTGCCAGACATCTGAGACAAGCCCTAACATGAAAGACAGCAAAACAGGTGAAGAGAAACAAACAATGTCACCGATGAAAACTTGGAGGAAAGAGAAACGAAGCAGGGAGTTAAAAACACTTAAAAATTCTGTCACAAGGGCCCTCACCCTCCATTTTGCCTTTTTGAGAACGTGGGAGGATGTTGAGAAGACACTGTTGCATCCATGAACAAAAATATGAGGCTATTAAAAAAAAGGAACATTCAGAAAATATTATAACAAAAGCAAAAAATACTCTTGGAAATTAAAAAACATGATAAAAGTTGAGAGGTTGAAAGCTAGAATTGAAAAACACTTTTAGAAAGTAGAGCAAAATTATGAAGAAATGAAGAACAAGATAGAGAAGAAAATCATAAAAATAGTCTTGAAAGAACACAACTGAATGATAGGAGTTTCTAGAAAGGAAATAGCTGAAAGGAATTACCCACAAGATGATTGAAGAAATTTTTCTAGAACCGAGAGACACAAGTTTCTGGGTTAAAAGGGCCCAGCACAATCTATGGAAATAGATCTATACCAAGGCATATTATTATGAAATTTCATTTTATAAGAGAAAAAGAAAAGATCTTACAGTTTTCAGAGAAAAAAAAAAACAGGTCATGCACAAAGGATCAGGAATAAGGTGACTTCAGATTTCTCAAAGCAACAGTGGAAGCAAGAAGACAATTCCGAGAGAAAATGATTCACAATCTAGAATTCTACAACACTCTGCCAAGCTATCAGTTGGGGTGAGGGCAGAATAAGACAATTTTAGTCACGAAAGATCTCAAAACATTTACCTCCCAAGCAATGGAGGGTGTTCTCTACCAAAATGACAGAGGAAACTAAGAAAGAGAAAGAGGATGGAGAAAACAGGAGGCTCAACAAAAGGAGTAAAGTGAAGAGAATCTCCATGAGGGAATGAAGGGAGGTTCTGCAAGGATCCCATGAACACTTGTCACAGAGGAACGCAGTCTAGAAAGGAAGCACAGCGTGAGACACTGGCATATTGGGAACCGCCCATCACCCTCTCTTCTGCCATTACACCATGCTTTTTTTTTTTTAAATTTTTTTCTCTTAGGAGACCAATGAGCACATACCATGTTTTTAAACTGAAGAAAATACTGGAAGATGTGCTCAAACAAAATAAGGACAATGTGAGATACCGAAAAAGAGAATCTTATGGGTAAAAAGGCAAAGGGAAGTCTCAGCAGGGCAGCTGTGTAGCAGGTTTAGAGACAGGAAGAAAGTAAAGGTCTCTGGAAAAACGATCTCCAAGAAAGAAAAAAGAACTGATAGGTCACCTGATGGGTTTGTCCTTGTGGAAGCTTGTACTGAAAGGCTACTGGAAAGTCTGGAAACAATTAGCTATGTGTACAGAGAAAATGAAGCAAAAGTTAAAAATAAAGCCAAGATAATTCTTAACTTTTGGAAAAAAGAAAAAGTGCAGTATACTACTCATGGTACTCTTACAGTGCTAGACCATGAATTATAGATGCATTGACATAATAATGAAAATGGTGACTATTGGCTTAACCAAAAATTGTAACGTAACAATTTTTGGACGATAGGTGAGGGGAAGCAGATTTGATGGTGATGTAAGAAAACTAA